ATTATTGTTACGACCATGATAAAAATATAGTAAGGTAGAACCGCTGAGAGTCACTTTTGAAATTCTTGACGTTTCCAAACAATTTAATTTTTAAGTTTACTCACAAACTCACACACACATTTTCATTTTCAATCTCAAGCAACAACAATTTCGAACAATTTCAATTTTTTATTTTCACTTATATGATTTTAAAATGTTGGCAAACTTCAAAAAAAAATCATGGCCGACAAATTGAGAGAACGGTTCTACCTTGCTATGTTTTTATCATGGTTACGACGACCGTTCCAAGCTTTCAAAAAAACGGGATGTTATTAATCGAGCGACGAGAGCGTTCAGATCCAAACAATGTGGAGAAATAGACTTCTTTAACCATAGATTAATGATAACCATAAAAACTTCAACGATCTCTTAACCTTAGCCTTTATTCCATATTTGTGGGTCTTATTATAAATTCCAATATTTCGGTACCGAGTATCAAAAGTATAGGATACTCTCCAAATCGGTTCCGAGTATCTATCAATACTTAAAAGTACCGACTCAGCACATCACTAATACTAGGACTTCATTTGCCATTTGTTATCGTTTTTCCGGGCTGGAAATATCCTGTTGAAAGAAGTCGAGATGGGAGTGTAGGAAGTGACATATTACAACCCAATGCTTGATACGCCAAAAGTAACTGTCGGAGCTTTGTGGTTATTTGCTTTATATTTTCCGCAACAGATATATTTTCAAAGTTCCGTGCCGTGAAATGTCACCTGCTTGAAATGACCAATTTAGTTAACTTATACACAACCCTGGATTTACACTAGATGCTCTCGAATATTTTGGGAGGTGGCAAATTTTTAGAACATAAATTCGGATAACTGGAGATTTATTTATTCAATGGCACTTATCTAAATTATTTGCAATCTACTGTGCCTAAAACTATACCACAAAAACGCATTTTGTGCAAACATCTCTGTTTGCAAAGCGCTGCTATTCAGCTTTTGTCAGAAGTGATCAGTTGGGATTTTATTCGCAATTAACTCTTTGACGTTTTCACAATTTCACTCGGAAAAAGGGTACAAATTCCTCACGCGTACCTACCTAAAATATTATTTGGCCCAATTATGGTGCAACTCCACCAAATTGTAGTGGACCTCTTTGAAATCTGTGAAGGGCTTAAGCCTAGTACGCGGTGTTCGCAAGATATAGCAGATCGAAAACTAACTTTATGCTTTCACAACTAAAACAAAATTACCTAATTTTACTAAACCAAGGATCGAAAATGGATCTGTCAAACAAGCTGAAATACCTTGGAGTTATTTTGGATCCCAAACTTAAATAGAAGCCATACATTGAACCAAGAATTGTGCACTGGATGTACACGGTTATAGTCCGACCCATACTCTCTTATGGGGCGCTAGTCTAGTGGCCAGCCCTTAATAAAGATAATGTGGTTAAAACACTATGAGGAATTCAAGGGTCAGCAGCCACTGGCGTAACAGGTGGAATGAAATCCTGTCCGAAGGTTGCTCTGAACGTTGTTCTTATTTTATTTTAATTTTTGTGGAAAACTCAGCTGCCATCAGACTTCGGCCTTTGAGGCTCGGGAAGGAAAGACCGTTCGAGGGTAGTACAGTGGTTTCATATAACCTAAAGTTATCGTTTCACCTACCTGATTATGTAAGCGTTTTCCTGGTAATTAATGAGAGACTAGGGTTACATCAAAGAGAATGGACTCCCATAGAACGCAACGGCTAGCCAAGCGCCTGTTCATTTACTCTCTTTTACCTTTGTTAGATCTCAACTAGTGCATAACCGTAGGAGGGAGCTGGGCTCGATTTCTGATCTATACGAAATCACCCTAATATGTGTCGCAATATGTGTCGCGGGGCATAGGCAGCGGACGAACTAGCAAGGCGAACAAAACAAGGAAAACAAAAATTACCGAAATGTATCACTGAACGCCAGACAGAGGTGGAACCGTACAGGATCGTAAAGGCAGTTCCTACGACCCACTTAAAACCAAAGTTCTTTCAGGAACGAGCAAAGAAGATAGCGACAGACTTACCGCAATGTGCACCGGGTACTAGCCTGTTGGCTTACCCTTCAATAGGTCCCGTCGCAGTTGCAATGACCCGGGCTTAAACGAGACAGTCGAATACTTTCTGGGCAAGTGTACAGCCCTCGCAAGGATGAGGCCAGTGCACGGATTTTACTATTTTATTGGTAGATCTACCAACTTTTTAGCTGTATTTTTTTTCTAAAATTTTTACCCACAGAGGCTACCAATATGTTCCGGAAAGAAAGCAAAGAGTTTTGAATGAACTTTGAACTGAATTTTAATGGATTTGAGTAGACTGGATGAGGCTAAGGACACTCAGCAAACCATTCTTGCCGAATATTCCAGAGTGCTGCTGCACAGTAGTTCAAAACTGGCATTTTGTGTTCACATTCACTTGAGCCTTCATTTCTCACTCAGTTCGGTTATTTTTCTTCTCAAAATGGAAGCTAATAGAATTTGAAAGATTTGCAGTTGGGTCCGATTTTTGAATTTTTGTTTGTTTGTATTAATTTATTTAGTGCAAGTTGCAGAAAAAATAACAATTTTGAAGAAACTCGATTCTCCTGTTCCTGTTAATAAATGTTACATAATAAAACCTAGTTGAAAACAATTGTAGGGTCTCTCAAAAACGGGAGAAAAATATTTGAAATATTATAAAAAAATGTAACCAAAATTAAAAAAAATTCTGTTTGGTTTCTATAAAAATTTTGGGTATGCAGTTTTATTGATCATTAGATTTTAGTGTAATAAAGTGCAAGTTGCAAGTGGCTAAGTGTTCGTGTTGATTTTTATAAATACAACAAACGATTTTATTTCCCATTTAGCATACAGATATGCTCGAAATGTTAGCGAAAAAAAATATTAAAAATCAACGCGACCTCTTAGCCCCTTGCAAATTGCACTTCCTTATACTAAAATTTAAAGATCTTCGAAATTACATACCCAACATTTTTCTAGAAACTCAACATTTTTTTTTTTTAATTTTGGTTAATTTTTTTTTTACATTTCAAATTTTTATTGTGAATTTTTTTTATTTTAGCGGAACCCTACAGGCGTTTTCAGCTAGTTTTTATTATGTAATATTTATTAACTGGAGAAGGAGAAACGATTTTCTGCAAAATTGCAACTTTTTCTGCAATTTACACTGAAATATTTAATACAAACAAACAAAAATTCAAAAATCGGGCTCAACTGGTATCTTAAAAATTAACCCGATTGAGAAAAAAATTAAGGCTCCAGTGAATTGTGAACACAAAATGCCAATTTTGAACCCCTTTGCGCTGCGTCCCTCTGTATGATGTCCTGAAATTCATTGAAGCCGCCGAATGGCTGTAGGTTATACGAGTTGTGGAATCAAAATTGCAAACTTACTAATTGCTTGTCACCAGGTTCTTATCCCAATTTTGCAATTTCGATATTTTTTTAATTAACATTCAACGAAAACTTGACTTTTTCGAAAAAGAAAAATGGATGGTAATACACTTTTTTCTAATGTTTCAAGTAGTTTCAAGATAAAAGGGCGTCATTTTCACAGGGCATAGGGCGGCATTTAAAGTAAATCCGGCCCTGCTTATACACAAGTTGTATGAAATATAAAAATATGGATGTTCAAGGAAAGAGGATTAAGAAATCTTTAGCTTGAACACTAAGAATATTTTTGAGGGGTTTCAAGAGGGTTGCCATCTGTTTAAAAACTTAAATTTAGATTATTAAATTATTTAACTGGAATATAAAAAGGCGGGTATCGAACGAAAAGGGGTTTGAAAGCTTTTTATTTAGTCATAAAAGTCATAAATAAATATCAGTCAGTTACCCATATTTTTTTAAATCATACTTTCAAAAGTCATTTGTATAAATCGTAGTAAACTTTTGTTTCCCAACACCTTTTTAACTGCGAAAAATGTTAGTGACTTTTATACGAATGATTTAAGAAATAAAAGTCGGTGACTGGTTTATATTTATTGATGACTTTTAAAAGTAAAAGCCACTGCTCATTTTTATTGATGACTTTTATAAATAAAATAAAAATAAAAAAAAAATTTATTTTCAAATTTGAGTGTCGGTGAAAAAATAAATCGATTTGTATATTTCATTTAGTTGTAGAACATTTCCTTCATAGTAAATTTTTCCATGACAGTTTCCATCAATAACTGTTATGTTCGGTCCCTGCATTGGACCATTATCCAACAGAAAATTGTATACGTACGTATATATGTATATGTGAGGTACTGTACAGTGACCCACGCTCAATATCACACATACGTAATTTTATTCATTACTTTTTTATAAAGGTATAGCTCATTTTCTAACAAAAGCAATATAAATCTAAATTGCATAATTTGTGCAATAATTATAAAAAATCATTTAATTTTCATCAAAATTTCTAAATTTATAATTAGAATTTCTAGAAAAATGTTTAAATGCAGATTTGTAGCCTATCACCTTTTATTAGTATAATAGGGCCTAAGTTCAAATTCGCTAAAAATGTCCGATAATTTTTTTTTTGCTGCCTCTTTTCTTTGCTAGTGTCCATTTTTATTTAATTTCACTATTGGCATTTTTCCTCTTCTTCGCAAAAATATTCGATAAAACTTGGTTGGAAACCGAAAAGTTATCTGTGATTTTTTATAACTACATATTAACGAGTGTCGTATTTTGTATGGCTAATCTCTTTTTCTAATTATAGATTAGGGATTTAAGCTCAAAAATGAGGATAATCTTCTTATAGGTAAACCTAGTATAATCGATTTTGGCAGTGTCAATGTTTAAGATAAAATGATACATTTTTGTTACGAAGAACTTGTTTTGTAAATATTTTTCGTAGCCTCACAAAACCTAGGCAGCTTAAGAGAAAGTTTTGATTCCACCTCATTGTTCTGTAAATAGGTGGGACAGTGACGACCCGGTCTGATATTGCTTTCTGCAGTTAATCTTATAACCAGTAAGTTGCGAGTATTTACGTATTATATTTATAAATTTTCTGTAGTAAAATTTTCGTTTATTTCTATCAAAGCAAATAGTATGTAAATTACATATAAGCATAAAAATATTCAGCAATGTGCTACATAAAAATTTATAACTCGTTAAGAAATACTTAAATTAATATTTATTTATTTACTTCTTACGTATTAAACATACATACAAGGTAAATATATTGTAAATGAATTCGCCGCTCCCTAATCAGAATACAAACACACATGTGTATGTAGAAAAACACAAAAATTATGGAATTTTTAAAAAAAATTTGTTAAAAAGAAAAAATTTGTTTCGATTTCATTTTGTAGTTTCGGAAACTCCTTATTTTATGTACAACTCCAGTTTTGGACATCTTTTTTTATTTACACATTGCTCATTCACGCGCACGCACGCATACAAACAATCACAGAAGAGGCGGCAATTCAATTTTAAGTGCAGTTTTTAGTTGTTAGTCTGTTTTTTTTTTTTACTTCAAACGTTTTCTTCCCTAACACATGTTTTGTAAGGTGCAAGTAAAGCAATTTTGATAATTTGCAATAACACTAAATACTAACAAACCCACCCAATAGACTCTCACAATATGCTTTAAGTTTTTTAAAATACGTTGAAAAATTATGTCTACTTAACACTATTAGAGTATGCAAGTATGTATGTATGTGTGTATTTTTCTACTGTGATATGTGGTGCATATTTTTTTTTGTTGTTTGTACAAAATAATTGTTATTGCAATAAAGATAATTTGTAAAAAATGTTTTGAACCAATATTGATTGCGAAAGTGAAAATTGTGCACAATTTTACATAGCCATATGTTTTTTTTTGTTTTCATTTAAGTTCTACCACGTTAACAATTCGTTTTTTTTATATATTTTGTCTTTTTTGTTTGGTTAGAAGATTTTCTATTTAATAATTTCGAATGTGTAGATGCGTACTAGGGAATTAAAAGTTCATTCATTGTTTTTTCCATTTTGTATGTTTTTGTGTGCAAAGAAAAGAATTAAATTAAACTGAATTAAATTTAATTTAATTAATTTAAATTTTTTTTTCTATTTTAACTTAACTATCGCGGCTTCTACATTTTACTCCGACGAATAACGCAAAAGGTGGTCTGTAGGTTTGATTAAATTGTATTCCCTTGAAAAGTGTTACTTGCGGATATGATTTTTTAAAAGCGAAAATCATTTTTGCTGACCTTTCGTTCATCAACACCCTGTAATCATCTTGCAATAATGTGTGTATATATTACCCTTCCCATATTCTTTTTTACCCCTGCACACTTGTACTTTGCCATCAATTGCCACAACCACTTGCGATCGGCACTTATTCGCTCTTCGCCAATTTTACATGATTATTATTGACATCAATGAGGCGCTTCATCTGATCACCATGTGCTAGCAGCGAGTTCGTCGGATTGCAGCCCATGCCACCGGCAGCCGCGAGCAGGGCGCGTCCAGCAATCGAACCGTTCGCATGACCATTAGCATAAGCCTTGGCATAACCATTTGCATGACCGTTTGCGTGTCCATTAGCTGCTGCTGCTGCTGCAGCCGCCTTTCTTGTATTGTAGGTCTTTCTGTAGAAATTGCCGAATAAATATAAAAAGATGATCGTATTGCCGACAAAGAAGAAAGTGAGCGCACGCGGCATATTGCAACCCTTTGCAGCAACCATAACCATATAGCCCAAAATTAGTACGAACTGTATGAGTTGGATGGAGGTCATGTATTTCTTCCACCAAAGATACTTCTGGTACTGGGGACCCATAGCAGCAACCATGTAATAGAAATACATAACGATGTGAACGCCAGAATTGAGAATGCCAATAATGACGCCTTGCTCGCCTATAAAGAGATTGAGACAATGACACGTTTGAGCAAGGGAAACCTTTTAAATGAAAGACAAAAAAAAACAATTGTTTACTCACCCGGCGCATACTTAAGATATCCCCACGAGAAGAGTGCTGTTATGGTGTGATGGTAGACATGCAAAAATGAAACTTGATTTTGTTTCTTGCGCAGCACAAAGAAGGTGGTATCCAATAAGTCAATTATCTTAGAGAAGAAGTAATACCAGGCGCCGGAGTAGAGCATCAAGTTTTGTTCGCGGTTGCGTACAATTTCACATTTCTTTGAGAGTATTGAGGCGGCTACATTACTTTCCCGTATAGACTACAAGAAAAAAGAGAAATTTATTCAAGATTATGTAATTTACTAATGCTAGTGTATGTATGTATGTGAAAATCAACATATCATTTTACTGAAATATTGACAAAACCAGCAATGATGCTATAAGGTCACAAGAAAAAAACATCGCTAAATAATGACTACGCCTTTAAACGCGAATTATAGCATTTTCAGTTTAAATGAAACCATTTTCAAATTAAGCGAAACCTTTTTCAAATTAAATGAAACCTTTTTCAGATTCAGTGAAACTTTATTCAAATTAAATGAGACCTTTTTCAGATTCAATGAAACTTTATTCAAATTAAATGAAACTTTTTTCAAATTAAATGAAACTTTATTCAAATGAAATGAAACTTCTTTTTTGGATTACTTTGAATTAGCTGTTACGTGTTGCTCTCCCTTACGGTCAAGGCATGTTGAATACAGTGTTGCCGTTTCGGTCCAATTGGACCAAAATTGGTAGTTTCATTTTTTAAAATAAGGCTTTGGTAGGTTGGTTGGTTTGTTGTGATTTTCGAGGGGTTTTGGTAACTAGGCAAATCATATAATTTATTCATTTTATAAAATTTCAAGTATCTCTGTTTTCGGGAGTACGTGTAAAGGATGATGTGAAAAGGAAAAGAGAAATGGGACATGTCAAAATTATTCTTGAACCGAAGTTGAATGTTGTCGTGATTAGACTGTGCTCTAATCCATAGACTTTGTTTAAGTTAGAAGAAAATAATTAGATAATTGTTATGCAAATGCTAAATTTTACATTTCGCTTAAGCGAGTCCCAGTTAAACATCATAATCGGCGTTATCGACTCCCTGATATAAGTATGGCGTCGATAACGTCGATAACGATGTGTAACTGGAAGTTAAGGCTCTGTTGCGTACGTGTTTTTACGTAGAAATCAAAAACCAACAGACTTCTACGTATGTAATTCTGTGCATTGGGTAACAGCTTACACGCGCCCAGTTATGCATACTTGAACTGCTATACCATTCTTACGTAAAAATCAAAACCCAACAGAATTCTACATGTTAAGTGCTGTGCGTTAGGTAACCGCTTACGCGCAAAGCCCATTTAACAGATTCTTATGTGACAACTCTCATGCAAAGCTAAGTACGCATAACTGGGCTAAGAGCCTTTAGTGTTAGCCAGACATGGTGCAAACGGCTCTTAATAGGTTAAGTTGATTTCATGTTCCTTAATTTAAAAATGCTTAATACTTAATTTGAATAAAGTTTAATTTAATTTAAAAAAAGTTTCATTTGGTTTGAATAAAGTTTCATTGAATCTGAAAAAAGTTTCATTTAATTTGAATAAAGTTTCATTGAATCCGAAAGAGGTTTCATTTAATTTGAAAAAGGTTTCGCTTCATCTGAAAAAGGTTTCAATAAATTTGAAAAAGGTTTCGCTTAAACTGAAAAAGGTTTAATTTAATTTGAAAAAAGATTCATTTAAACTGAAAATGCTATATATACTTTTTTCTGCCATATCAATCTAAATTGAGGACGTATTGTCGTCAAAGTAGTATAGCGCCATTCTTGGAAAAGGTAAGAGACTATGGATCCGACAACAATCGGGTCCAAACAAAAGGCAAAACCACCACGCATTCAGTCGCAAAAACTCACAAAAATTGTACCTCAATGGGCTGTTTCACACTAGAATGACAGAACAATTATTCTCACGGTTTCACACTGGATGATAAGTAGCAGAAGAAAATGTAACTTTGAGCTTGAAATTTACGTGGCAGCATTTTTGTAGTTGCGCATGTGTTAGTGCGCTACAGCCGAACTACCACTTTAATGCGGGGTAGAAGCTGGAACCACTTTTTGAGAAACTTTATCTCACCGCACTGCCTCTCTTGACTACAAACACGAGTTGTTTTGGTGGCTGAAATGTTCCAGTGTGAAACCGCCCAATCGGAAGAGCCATTTAGAAATGCATTAAAAAAATGCACACCAAGTTACGTACATTTGCAAATATCTTCTATACCCAGTGTTTAAATTTCTGATGACGATACATTTTAATACCTATCGACAGCTGAGTAGAAGATCGACATATCTTGGCAACCGGCCCCATCTCAGCAAATTGGTTGAAGAATAGCTTATCTCAGAAATTAATTAAATAACGTCCTAACTCAGAATTTCGTCGAAAAGCGCTCTATCCCAGCTGCCGATAAATTGAATTTACATCGAGATAGAAAGTTCTCGTACCATTTGCTGAAGTAAAGCGCTCTTCAATTAAATTCTGAGCAAAGGAATTCTTCAAGAAAATTCTGAAATAGGGCATTCTAGTGCAATTTTCTGAGCTAGGCCGTTTTCGAACCGGCTGCCGAGATGGGTCCATCACCCACTCAGTCGTCAATATATTAACAAGAGCTTTTGTTTCGGTGGTTCTTTCGGCACTTGAAAGACGTCTTACTTTTTCTGGTATATCGAGAATGTAATATAGCGGGCAATTACACCAGTCGCAATAGACATTTCGATTTACACAAATTCAAAAAAAGCAGAGCCACAGGTCTTAAATACACCATTACAAATAAATTGTCAAAAGTCCCCATTCATTCAACGTGTGCTGAAAGTTTTCAAGGTCAAAGGCCAAAATAAGGAAAAAAGCCGAGAAAAATTCAAGGACAATTCCTTGCACGCCAGATGAAGCTTTAGCTTTAGATATATATGTGTGAACGGAGGATTTTCAAAGGCTCTCTCTGTAATGCAGTCTGGTGCAAAGGCACACTGTGCTACCCAAGCGAAGCGATTTTAATTTCAGATATTTCAGCAGAAATAAAATTACAAAGCCTTATCAATCATACTGTTCTTAGAGTGCTGGAAGTTCAAAAAGAGGTACTATTTGTAAGATAAACTAATACATAGCTCCTGATCGCAACATACCTAGCTACTATATATAATTGAAGAAAGTATCACACAAATTAGTCAAAATTACGCTGTGAACTATGCTATGGGCATGATCATCCAAAATTCCGAAACCGCTTCATTAATTTTATAAACTATGACTTAGGGCCGCTTGCATCGTGTCGGGTTAACCCTTTCTGCTAGTTAAACGGCGTTATCGACTCCCTGTTATAAGTATGGCCTCGATAACGATGTGTATCTGGGGTTAAATATTAGCCAGACATGGTGCAAACGGTTCTTAGTGCTCTTTTGGCCATTTACACCATGTCCAGTTAACGCTAAATGGAGGTACATCCTTCAGATAAGCAAATCGACTTTTATCGATCACATGTTATGAGGTGGGTGTCGTTAAAGATGTTTAACTGTGTGTTAGAATTAACCAGACATGAAGAAGGCGGTCCTTAATAGGTTAAGTTGATTTCCTGTGCCTTAATTTAATAATGTTTAATACTTAAATTAACAATGTTTCATTTAAATAGAAAAAAGTTTCATTTAATTTGAATAAAGTCTCATTGAATCTGAAAAAGGTTTAATTTAATTTGAAAAATGTTTCGATTAATTTTAAAATGGTTTCTTTTACACTGAAAATGCTATAATATTACGGTTAAAGGGCCGCTTCCAGAAATATCTAAGAGGTCTATCAGTGAACCTTTAGCTTGTGTTTTGCAGTAACTTTTGTACCCTGAAAAATATGTTGAGGATTGAGGTCTAATTTGACTGAACTGACAAGAAAGCCCGAAACGTACTTGATGAAGTTTTCTTCTTCAAGTTGCAATACCGTATCAACTAATGTAATTTACATGTGTTACATTGTTATAAATTAACTGCGAACGTATTTTGCCTAATTTTTACATTAGTTTTAGAATACAACCGATATAGCTCTACACACACCTTATAGCCCTTTTTCACCAGAAGCTTGCAGTTTAATCTGCAAAGCAGCTAGTACTTTTACGATTTTTTCTCTCACTAGCTCCAAAATAATCTCAAATACTTACTGTGCGACACATCCATATAGAGAAAACAACTTGGAATGCATTGTAGACAACCATGACTTTCTTCAAATCGTACGGTTTACGATCACGCATATATGCAGGTCCTATTTTGAGAACGAAAAGCAGGTAGAGCGCAACAATTGAGGCGACAGGCCCAGGCGAACTCATCAAAAACCAGCCATCCACCGTTTCATCTGCAAAAATAAAATTACAGTTCGCATGTTTTACTCTATTAGCTAAAATAAAAATTATAGATAAAAAGGTTTAATATTTTTTGTATCTTTTAGCCAAAAATATTCATCATATGTGTGTATATCAAACTGTTAGTATAATTACCCGCGTGTGTCAGAATTTTTTCATTAAACAAATATCCTAGTGAGTGAAGTTCAACCTCCTGACGGATGTAACTGGCATTAATCATTATTTCTTGAACCCCAGCTAAAATAGTTATTACTTTTAATCGAACTGAGAACAGTACACTTTTGTATACACTCAAAAACTTGTTTGACTTTTTGAACTATTTTGTTTTTTAAACTAAAATGTAAGCCTACTTACTTCACTTATTTTTATTTTTTTTTATAATTATTCAGAAATGCCAAGGTGAATTTATAAATAGGGTGATAGCAGGAGTACAAAAACAAATCACATGTATTTTGTTTTTGCTTTGGCGGCATAAACTGTCAAAATCTGTAAGAGCATGCGTGGAAATTCAAACAAAATTTTTCAATTTGACATAAGAAGCCGTGAGGCGAAACACATACAAAAAATCAGCTGATCTATTAATACCACCTTATATAAATTCGCCTTGAGAAATGCTTCATAGCTCCAATGTACCCCGCTTAACTTGAATAGGCACATCATTTTTATCCCAGAACCGGTCTTGAAAATTGTTAATTATAGGCATATATGTAATACTTCTATATTGCTAGTACATTCCCCAACATCAGAGTGCCGAAATATTGAAAAAAGAAAGAGAGATCCGATAAAATAATGTACTCAAAATGATAATTTTACTTTTCAAAATTCAGGAGCGGTTTCACACATTTTCATTTAAAAACAACTCTTATGAAAAATTAACAAAAAATAAAATTTTTGTAGATCTATGAGAAGCGCTGCGGCCATTGGTGGTGGCAGAGGATAAATATACCAGTTAGAGAAGGACTTGGCATCAGTTGGCATTTCCAATTGGCGTCAATCAGCATAGAAGGGAATCGAATAACATGCTTTATTGGATTCGGCCAACATATAAAATACCACACCGCTTTATATGTAAATAAGTTTTTGTTAGGAAAATATCTTAATAACGAGCAGCATCGGAGAAATTCGTCATACCGAGCCCTAACCGCTAAAATAATGTATAAATATATATTTTTTNCCACACCGCTTTATATGTAAATAAGTTTTTGTTAGGAAAATATCTTAATAACGAGCAGCATCGGAGAAATTCGTCATACCGAGCCCTAACCGCTAAAATAATGTATAAATATACATTTTTTTTTAAATTACTTTTTGATGCAGGTGCTCTAAGAGGCATTTATGCATCAAAATTAAGTTTTGAAAAAAGTTGTCTTACTTCATTTTCGCGGCTAGGGCTCGATATACATTTCAGCATGAAGGAAACATGAGACCGTCAAATTTGTGTTTGTTTGTTGAATTCCCTGAGCCGGCCTTGTTATGATATGACACTTCATTCTATGTAGTAGCTTACAAATATATGTACACGTATACTTCTACAATCACAAAAATTTTCATAGGCTGTCTTTCTAGAAGTATTACATATATGATTATAGGCATCAGAGAAGTTTTGATTACGAGCCAGTTCTGATTGTTATCGAATATTTTGTAGGCAAAAAATTAAAAACCCCTATTAAAATCCTGAAACTATAACTCTAGTTATCGGTTACAAAATTTTTTTTACCAGCCCAGAAAAGACCTGTTAGCTGCTGTAAATTTATACCAAAAAATAAGAAATAAAACTGAGATCTGTATCTCTGAATCTTTATTATCTCCCGAAAGAAGAATCTCTGACACTTTTTTTTTTTAATAATTTCATTCATATTTTGTCCGAAGACAGAACATAACCGTAAATAACGAGCGCTACCGCCTGAAATTTAAGCACGTGAATTTCGCAACATTTGATTTCAGCAAGTTATCGTATTTATGAGAAGTCATCACCGATAAGCTAGCTATGACTCAAAACTTTAACATTACTCGCGTAATTCGCGCATTGCTGGAAAGAGTAAATGGAAATTGGACCACATACAGCGTAGTTGCGGTCAAAATTTGAGTGAAATTATTGTTAAAAGGGAAATGTCAGAGAATGTTCTTTCGGGTGATAATAAAGATTCAGACATTCAGTTCTCCTCTATTTTATTTACAATTAAAAAACCAGGGACTACATGGATCACCCTATACTATTTATGAAAAAAATATATAAGAAAGCCTCAAAATATCTGCAAAAAAATTATTCAAAACTGTATCAACGGAATCAAAGTAATGACATTTTGCTCACTTAAATCTCAAAATTTTTAAAAAATATTTCAGCGGAAGCCTTATGACCTTATTCAAAAAAAAAAACTTAAATAGGTTTGACCCTTAATTAGGCGCATAAAGAAAATTAGACAAGCATGGGGTCCCGAGTGACCCCAATAAAAGTGTTGAAAAAAGAGTTTTAGAAATAAAAAACGAAGTGTGTATTTTCAAAAATATTAAAGTAATCTATTATCGTTAACTTAGAAAAAAACTAAAACATAATTTCGACTTAAATTTACAAACAAAATATTAAAAACTTACGTCCGCCAACAAAGGTGAAAAGTTGCTTTTTCTAAAAAAAAAAATATATTTTGATGCAAGAAGCAAAAACAATTAAAAATGCGTCGTTTTCTTAAAGACCGACCCTCCTATTTTATTTCTAACCATTTCTCTGAAATGCCAATTTGCTAAGTTCAAAATAGTCACAGAATATGTGACATTTCATCAACATAGTGGAACTCAATTCGTTTGGCATTGTTTGGAGTACGCGAAAACTTGTATTAAAATTTTAACAAAACAAGTGCTCGAAGAAAACTAGTTTTAAAGGTTTTTATTCTCTCCTGTGAAATTTTTAAAAACTGGACCTAGCAACTTTTAACTCTTAGCTAGCTATACGTATATGAGAATTATATTTCGTACAAGTGCATAAAACGTTTTTTTTCTCTATCTCTCTCACATTTCCTTGATTAATCTTTTATGTACGCATTTCTTAAAAAAAATGTCGAATTATTTTTCTGAAACTAACCCAAGGTGGATGGGATAGCTTGTAGTATTTTAATTGAATATTTTTTTTTACACTTTAACAGCCGATGTCACCAGCAGTTTAAATGGAAAATGTTTTTTTTTTATTTGCTGTCAATTTCCATATAAATTTCAAAAAATTAAAATCATTTTTCACTTAATTTGCTTTCGTGCTGCAAGAGCTTTTACGAATTTACAAAATTATAGCAAAAAAAAATATGAAATTCGAATTTAAACACAAAGTATTTCGTATAATCGTCCATAATCAGCTGCTTCTTTGATTTCTAGTTCAACACTTCACTTTAGCCACACAACTCAATTTTTTTTTAAGCAAAATTTTCTACTCACCAACACCTTTTGAGAGACCGGAAATGCGCTCATTGAAAATTTTTATATAGGTCGCCATTTTCGCTGTTGTTTCTATGTATGCAAGTCTTTCGTTCTACGAATGAAAAAATAAACAAACACACAATGAAATACATAAAATTAACAAGTAAAATGTTTTGATGAATTAAATATTTAATAGTGTTATTTTTCCCCACATTCATTGATGGAAATGCAACGCGTGCAAAATTCAAATGTAACGAAACTTATGCAAAAAGATTCTCAAGTATTATTAATATTTATAAACATACATATGTATGTATGTAAGCACTCGCGGAATACCAGTATGTATTTCGAATTTCGTAGAGCGTCTGAGCTGCGAGTACTGCTCCATACGAGCGCGTTCACAATTCTGATGGCAAATGTTTAATTTGATCCGTGCCAAGCGTTTTTTCTAGCTTACAAACATACATACAAATGCATGTACATATATACAGCCATGTGCCTGCATGTGTATGAGTACATACTGGTAAGTTTAGCAGCCAAAATAGTCAAATCCATAGTAAATAGCAAAAATATACATTAAGCATTCAAAAATTTGTGCTTAGAATATTGAATTCGATTTATAGAATTGAGTAAGTGTTTGTTTGACAGGCAGCAAGTGTGCTAAATAAGATTCTTACAGACGAGTATTTATGCAGATTTGATTAGAATTTCGTGTAAGATTTTATTGGTTAGTGGTTTTTACCGATTTTTATGTAGTTATGTATGTAGATACAAGTGAATCTTTAGTTATGCACTGAAAGTATGTACATATGTGTTTCACTTGAGGCTCGACCAAATTATTTATGTAAAATTAATGTTAATTAGTTGATGCTTATGCGGTTTTATTATAATTTCGAATACATATATTTAGCTATTTTTGCGCCATTTTTAAAATATACAATTTAAGTCTTTTATTAATTAAGAGAGAGAGGATATTTACTATTGAATGTTGTCCAGTAAATATTTCCCGCGCGGCCTCAACAGTAAGAACTTAAAGGTACTAAAAAATCGAAGACTAGAGCATGATATTTATATTCAGCAAGGTATGTCCATAGAAGTGACATCCCAATTGTAGCTGAATACATCTAATGTCAAAAAACATAAAAATTTAAATAGAAAATATTTCCATACGATTTGATATACATATTTTATTATATGCATATTAGGGCGGTCCTTAAATCAAATGAAAGTTTTTTTTTCAGTCTCACCGCCTCAATCGGTAATACCAGGGGCAAAGATATCACATATAAATTTTGGAACAGATTTACCGATTTGAGACGAATAAGGCGTGTCGTGTCGCACAGATTGCTCTACATAGATTAAAAAAATTAAAATAATTTTATTTTTCATCTAATACCCAAAGTCGATGCTACTATAGTCAGAGATATCACATATAAATTTTGGTCCCGAGTGGAGTCGGTTAAGGCGTGTCGTAAGGGGGTTTAAGGCCAGATGGACTAAAAAAATTAAATTTTTTTTCATTTAATACCCAAAATCGATACTACTAAAGTCGAGGATATCACATATAAATTTTCGTCCCGATTGGAATCGTTTAAGTTGTCTTCATAGGGTAATCTCACCTTTGCCCACAGTGCGACATGCCTTAATTGTGTCCTGTAGGGATCGAAATTTATATGTGATATCTTCTACTATAGTAGCATCGACCTAACGTACATATAGCGCCGGGGAAAAAGTATTGGCACAGAGAATTTTTCCTAATGTATGCAAAGTTTTTTATTCTAATTTCTTCCCGCTAATTTTTTTATACAAATATAATTCATACTACAACAAAATATATACAAATAAAATCTCTAGACCTAGTGCAAAACTCAGGAAAATTCAATAAATTTACAAATTTCTTATCATATTTTCAGAAAAACTCTAAGTATGCAGTTTCATATCACTTACTCGAACGAAAAATCACGCGAAAATTTGGATTCCGGCCATAGGAAATACATGGAAAGCAAAAGTTAAAAGTGAACTGGTTCGGGGAAAATGAAACTCATGATAACGCGGATTAATTTATCGAAGTTTCAAACATTGCACAAGAATAAAAAAAAAGTTTTATAAAAATTTCACACTTTTTTCGGAGTTTGTAGAAGATTTTTTTGGCTATACATCCTTTCGATTCCAGAAAAATAAAGCGCAAGTTTGAAGTGGCTGAAAGATATCATTGATTTTTGGCAATTTTTTTTGTGGATGGTGTTGTGCGATTTCCTGCATATAAAAAAACAAAATTGTGAAACATTCTTTGTAAGGAAAAAAATGAGTGACAACGGTGTAACGTAAAATTCAACGGTATTTTGTGGTCACTTCAAATTATTTGGGATTGATTAAAGGTGAAAAAGTGAAAACTTTGAGAAAGCTTTGTTGATTTTTTCTCATTTGTACATACAAGGTTTTAAACTTGGGTCCATACGGTTTTTGTTATTGAATTAGCTATATTTTTGTAAAAAAAAAAATATTAAAGTTTAATAACAAAAAGATAAATAGTCAAAACTTTTCGATATGTGGGTGTCGTGCAAAAAATTTCAAGGCCTTGTTTGTGAGAACATAACCCAATTCCATAGAGATGTTTCTATCGAAGATACATAGATTCGATTTTCCTAAATTTAAAAAAAAAAAATTTACTCGAGCAGAAATATTTAAACAGCAGCTACTAATATATAGCAAATTTTGCATTTTTCAAATACACCGTTAAGTGGGTGGTAGGCAGGGTTGGAAATATGTGAAAAATAATTGGGACACGGCATTTTGACCAGTTTTGGAATTTTTTTTTTGTTTGCTTAGTGTCTATTATTTTTTTTAAGAAATACAGTTCGTTATCTAAAAAAATCATATAAGTCCAAATTTCAAACTTTGTAGAAAAATTAGAAAAATTCAACAAACTTTTACAACAACAGCAAACATTTTATTAAGAATTTCTAAGTAATTAAGTGGCAAAGAATTCGCATTGGNATTTTCCTAAATTAAAAAAAAAAAAAAAAAAAACTTACTCGAGCAGAAATATTTAAACAGCAGCTACTAATACACCGTTAAGTGGGTGGTAGGCGGGGTTGGAAATATGTGAAAAATAATTGGGACACGGCATTTTGACCAGTTTTGGAATTTTTTTTTTGTTTGCTTAGTGTCTATTATTTTTTTTTTAAGAAATACAGTTCGTTATCTAAAAAAAATCATATAAGTCCAAATTTCAAACTTTGTAGAAAAATTAGAAAAATTCAAGAAACTTTTACAACAACAGCAAACATTTTATTAAGAATTTCTAAGTAATTAAGTGGCAAAAAATTCACATTGATTTTTGATAATTTTTCGCGGGCGGTATCACGCATACACCGAAATTAGAAAAGAATAAACGAAACAAAAACCATCGCGACTCACTACCAGAAGAGTTGTCATCTTATAAAAATATTTCGAAAAAAATTCAAAAGAACATTAACCGCCAATTATATGCAACTTCGCACACATTCATACATACATACATGCAAAAACTATAATAAACACTTGCACTACTCGATACGCGAGTTCAATGCCAAATTTTGGTTAACGTCACCACAAAATTGCACGCACGCACACACACACACACAATGGAAACAATTACTGTTCTCAAGCGCTGACGCGACCATTTTTTTTGTAATTTTGACGCCAAATGCCATTTCAGTAATAGTGAAACAGCTTGAGCTTGGCATTCAGCCAATATTACACATCTATTGGATGACACTTAACAGCTGTTGAATGTTTGGTTGTTTGACAGAAACTTTACCTTGTGTGGCAAATAATTGGTGAATTTAGCAAAGAACCTCACCTCGCGCAATGTCACACTTAAATATGTATGATGTATATGTATGTATTAACACGTGCGAGGTATGCCAGTGTTCGGACCTCACTCTGAACGAAGTGTTTATATATATACAGCGGTTCTTTTTTTATTAATTTAAAAGTCTACTCCTATACTACGCTTTGCTTTCCTGCATTACATTGCTGTTGTAAAAAGTCTTCAAACATGAAACTCACTAAATATAAATATTAGAAAGAGAGTTTAAGTAGAAAAGGTCCACGGCCTAATACTGGCAAGATAACTTATCACAAAATGTCTGAAATTTATGTTCTACTTTATGAAATGCTGATTTACTATTTCGTAGAACTTTTTTAATTAAGAAAATTTTCAAAGAGAACACCTCTAAAGAAATTGCCTGCTTAAATTATAAATGCTAATCTACTACAGAAATGTCGTTTTCACTCCTATTTTCCGAGTGATTTACATCCGAAATGAGTTTCAGGACTCCGAACACTGATGCATGCACACATACATGCATTCCCTCATGCATACAAACATAGTAAAACATCAACTATTTGAAAATTACAGTGCAATAAATGCTTGCGGCTAGAATCAGAAGTAACAACTTGTTTGGTTGCAAGTGGTAAAGCGTTAACCTGAAAATTAAGATAGAAAAAAATAAAAAAAATTGCTGCTTGAGTAGGCAAAAATTCACAAGATCGAAGTCAAGGGCATCGACTTTTTTCGCATTGACTTTTAGCCACTTGATGTTTTCTGTTCTTATAGCATGCAAAAGACTGCGCCTGCGCTGCTGCATCACTTGTTGGCATGCAGCAGCAGGTTGCTATATGAGTGAGTAAATGTAAATACAAGGGTTCCCCAGTTTAACGAAAATCTCTAACGTAACGTAACTTATTAAGTATGGAGAAATATTTTTTACACAACTCTATCTCCAGTATCCATACCTTTACCGTTTATATTATGGGACAAAAACGAACAAATAACCGGTTTAGCAGCACCTGTTCACGATTGAACACCTATCCTGATATTAATTAATCGTTAGACCGTTTCTTAGTACAGTTTTACGACGTGTTTTTTACTCATTTGATGATAAACGCCTTTCAGTTTGACATAGTGAAAATCAGCCTTTAGTTACATTTATAAAAATGCCATGTTCTAAGGCTTTATGCACAAAACTAGATCTAATTTCTGTTTTGAATAAACAATTTACGGAGCTCGTCGATTTTTATTTTATTAAATAAAGTTGTATTTAACAAACGCATTATTTTTGCGAT